CAGGCGCTGAGCCAATAGATGATATTAAGCCTAAGCTAATGCAACATCAATTCAACATCCCCATTGTAGAATCTCAGAATGCCTATGCCCACTCTAGCACCACCAGGCAAGAAGGAAAGTGTGTCAGAGAAACAGTTGGAGGCTCTCAAGAACTGATTATTAAATATTTTGGAATTTTGTAATATGCCGGTTAAACTATTGGTAGCTTGAAGTCAGTTTTTGTGGGAATGTTACATGATGGAAACTGCCGAATGGTATAAATCAGAGCTTTTTTGAGAGAGAGAGATTGATGTGATGGCTGAAGCTTTAGCAGCCATCTTAAATCATGAGATAAATGAAAATGAAAGTCACACACTGAGATGGTGGAACAGAGTGAATGGAGCCTGGGTACCCAACATCCACAAAGCCACACATCATCCATGGGCTGCCTATATCCAGGACTTCTCCTATGTGAAACAGAAACAGTAATCTATAATATTTAAAGCCACTGTTTCTGAGTTTCCTATTATATTCAGCCAAACCTGACTATAGTTTATACTTATTTTACTTATGAAGAAATGGAAACTCAGTGAGGTAAGTAGCACACTGGGGATTTAGCCTCTTCTTGGTGTAACTCCAAAGCTGATACTTTTTTCCACTGTGCAACTTTCTCTGATAAGTGGGTGTCTATCTCATTTTGACCATATGAATAAATTTCATAGCATTTATTCATTCAACAAATGTTTATTGAATGGATTGAATGCCTACTAAATTTCTAACACTATTCAAGGACCCTTGCAATGATTTTCTACTCCTTAGGCAACCTTTCTTTTCTAAACTTTTTTTTTTTTGCACATTTTGGGGCTGGGTTTGAACCCACCACCTCTGGCATACGGGGCTGGTGCCCTACTCCTTTGAGCCACAGGTGCCGCCCAAAACTAAATTTTTTTTTCCTAGATGGGAAAAAAAACAGCCAACTTGATTATATTCTGGCATGCCTACTAGGTATATTTCTCATCACAAAGCAATAAATTACCATTCTGGTTTCAATATCAGTGTGAGTTTGTTAGCATGAATCTGGCTTCTGAGCCAGATCATCTGTGGATATATTGACAAAATCAGCCTTGTGACCATGCAAAGATTCAGAGCCAATTAAGCAATGCTGCTAATATGCAGCTATGGAGAAAGGATTATCTGCTACCTGAAACTAGGCCAGCAGTGAGAGGGACTGCATATGTTCTTGATGTCCCACAAGGATTCCAAGTGGTAGGAGAGGATGTGCAACTCCCCAGGGCAGCTGGCAGTGCCCAGGTTCAAACCATTTCCTCATCCACCTGAGTTGTGAAAAAGCCTTTCTGTTGACTTACTTGCCTATAAAAAGGCATAGTGCAGTGGGGCAGGGCCTTGCTTCTGGAGCGCTACCCATGATGCATCCTTGCTACTTCTGGACAAAGCACAACTCTCTGGATGGCATCTGCCATTCTGGTCCTGTGACACACCCTGTGCCCCTGAAGAGCCTACGCTGTGTGATTTTCAGGGTATATGGTTGAGACTTTGTCTCAAAGTAAAAAAATGAATAAGAAAAATTTCAGATTTCATTTTACCTTCAGTTATTATCTGACGTTCTTTGCTCTATAGAGCCCAGCTTCTGACCTATATCATTTTCCTTCTGCCTGAAGAACTTTGAGCATTTCTTGCAGAGGAAGTCTGCCGTCAATGAATCTTCTCAATTTGCGTTTGTCTGAGAAAGTCTTTATTCCTCCTCCTTTTTTTTTTTTGGTGCTTCAGCAGCTTTATCTTTTAAGACTATGCATATTATGAGAAATTATTTTAAAGCAGCATTTTAAAAGAAAAAATGTGACTGCATTATAAACAGCATTTAACTTCCTACAGAAGAATAATCACTTAAAATAGTAATTATCTAAAACTGAAAATAATTAGCTATCATTAAACAGGTTTGAGTCTTTTCATATTAAATACATGGACAGGATCTAAATAGTATTAGATATAATGGAAAACTTGCATAGTTGGCATAACATTTTTGCTGCATTAATATTTCAAAATTCTGCAAAAGATAAAACTCAAAATAACAAATTATAAACAATTAAGCTTGAAAAACAAAGAAAGAATTATTATATACCCATAATAAGGGGAATGAAAACAAATGTTAGTCTATGTTATTTTCATACAACATTCTTTATTCTTTGGGCTTAATGTATCATCAAAATCAGAGTAAATGAAGTGAGGAATTGCTTTAGGATTTCCAATTTTCTTCTTTTATTTTAAACAAGTAAAAAGAATCTGTTTTACACACACACACACACATTAAATTCTACAAGTTTTTCTCAATCGTATCTTCTTCCCTTTGGAAGGATAATTGTACTGGATATAGACTTCTAGGTTGGCATTTTTTTCTTTCAATACTTTAAAGATTTTACTTCATGTTCCTCTTGCTTGCATAGTTTCTGATATAAAGTCCACTATAATACTTCTCCTATAAGTAAAGTTTTTTTCTCCCCTCCTAGCTTCTTTCAAGATTTTCAATTTGTCCTTGATTTGCTGCAGTTGGAATATGATGTTTCTAGGTGTGTTTTGGTTTGGGGTATTTATCTTGCTTGGTGTTCTCTGAGCTTCCTGGGCCCGTGGTTTTGTGTCTGTCATTAAATGATAGATTATCTGAAGAGTTCATGGCCATTACTCCTTCAGATATTTCTTCTGCCCTGTTTTCTCTTTCTTCTCCTGTTGGTATTCCAAATACACGTATACTATACATTTTGATATTGTCCCCTTGCTCTTTTTCAATCTATTTTCTCAAGATTGTGCCACCTGTTGACTATGATTGTTTGTATTTTAACTTAGGTGAGACAAGAAGATTGGAGAGGGCTGAAATTCCCTTCCTCCAAATAAAATAATGTTTCAATATTGCCCTTTAACAAAGTTTTGCCCTTTGGCAAAGTTTTTCATTCTGGAAAATTGGCTTTTGTGATGGAGAAGATTATGGAATGGTTTCCCAATGGTTACTTACTGGTCCTCTTTCCCTGCCAGATTCTTTAGGGGATCTTCCTCAGATCCCCACTGTGAGAATCTGAAGGGGTTCCTGCAGGAAAAGCCCCCAAAATAATGCATCCCCCACCCCGTGATTGCATCCCCCCAGGAGTCTCTTATCTCATGCTAATCCACACTTAGACTCCAGCAATTCATCAAAGTTTGAGGTTAAATATTCCTACCAGTTTAAGGCTCTAGCAGCTTCTGTTGAAGGTTAGCAAATTTTGACTGTGATTCTCTGTATGTGCCCATCTCTTCAAATTTGGGGATGGAAGTTTGCTCTCTTACCCAAGTTCTTGATGGGTCTAAGAAAAGTCATTGATTTTCAGTTTGTCCACCTTTGTCTTTATGTAAGAACAGTAGTCACAACTTCCAAGCTTTTTAAAGGTAGGAGCTGAAATCAGAAATCTCTTGGAGGCCAGGCACAGTGGCTCATGCCTGTAGTCCTAGCACTCTGGGAAGCTGGGGTGGGTGGATTACTAGAGCTCAGGAATTCGAGATCAGCCTGAGCAAGAGTAAACTAGTTGGGCATCGTTCCAAGCAATTATAGTCCCAGCTACTCTGGAGGCTGATGCAAGGGGGTCTGCTCAAACTCAAGAGTTTTAGTTTGCTGTGAGTTATGATGATGCTACAGTACTCTACTCAGGGCAACAGAGTGAGACTCTGTCCCCCTCCAAAAAAGAAATCTTTTGGCCATCTCTTATATTTCCTTTCCTCCTCCTCCTTCTCCTCCCTCTTTTGGGGAGAAAGGAACATAATTTGGGGAGATTTTTTGGGTTTTTTTTTTTTTTTTTACAAATACACTGGTGAATCATGCAATGCTGTCAGCAGTGGACACAATCCTGGGCCACAAGTCCGTGCCTCCCTCTACAGCTGGTCTTGTGATGGTAGAACCTTTTCATCTTGCCTTTATTATTTACTATGGCTCCTACATTATATTCAAAATAAAGAAACATGCCATCTTTTCTCTGGTATTACTTTCATTGTCAAATTACCACTATTGGATATACTTGCTTGCTAAGCTCTAGTTTGCCTTTCTTAACTATAGCCATCACCATAGCACCCATACCAGGAGTGGGAAGTCTGTCCTATTGTCCCTTGATCCCCTTCAGAGAGATTATACAGATTTTCAGCTCCTGTGTTGTCAGCACAGTTGATCACTGCTCCTACCAGAAGGCCCAAGGAAATCCAGAATTTCACACCAGAGGACCCATCACATTCTCCCTTTGACAACTTTAAAATTAAAAAGGATAGAAAGTTGTATATTTTCTTTAATGAAGTATTTGTTGAAATCCTTTGCTCACTTTTAGAATGGAGTTATTTGTCCAATTATTAAATTATGAGTTTATGTATATCCTAAACAAAATTCCTTTATAAAATATGTTTTGCAAGTATTTTTCCCTAGTATGTGGCTCATTTTTAAATTTATTTTTGTTATTGAGTAGATCTGTTGTACTTTTTCTTGTTATTTTCATTATTGAATCAGACATGACACTTGGCTAGATAAAATTCTGTTACTTAACAAGAAAAATATTAGATCACATTCTTGGCAGACTTTCTTCCTGCAGTAGGTCCTTGATCTTGGAGATTTGAAGAACAAACCCACAGACCACAGATCAGTGGTAAAATAGGATTTATTTGATAGAAAGGAATACAGAAGGAATAAAAAGCACCAGAGCTTCTAGCAGAGGGAAAGATTCAAGTGGGAAGTCTATCATGGATCTTTTTTTCCTAGGGATTATATACTGTTTTGTAAAAGAGAAAGATCTTAAAAATTACATTTGGCCAGGACTTGGCAGACTTCAATGTTGATGCCTGTATTAACAAATGAATGCAGTCCCACTTGCTTGGGGCAAAAGGGTCAGGGCATCTACTTCAGAAGAGTCTTATTACCCAGGCCTAGGAAACAGGGATCCCTGCCCAGCCCTGAATGGGGGCACCCTGCATCAACATTGAAAAAGACTAATGATAAATTGAAAAATATGGGATGCTTCATGAATTTGCATCTCATTCTTGTACAGACACCATGCTAATCTTCTCCTCTGTATCATTCCAGTTTTAGTATATGTGCTGCCAAAGCGAGCACTCTTTTTATTTTGGCTATGTCTTTGAAAAGCAAAAGTTTTTATTTCTGATGTAATTCAATTTATTCTTCTTGATGTGGTTCATGCCTTTTGTGTCTTATCTAAGAAATCACTGCCTAGCCCAAGGTCACAAAGATTTTCTCTGATGTTTTATTCGAAAAGTTTTATGGCTTTTACGTTTAGGTCTGTGATCTATTTCAAGTTAATTTTTCTATGTAATGTAGATAAAGGTTGAAGTTCTTTTTTCTTGCTTATAGATAACCCAATTATTCTGGCATTATTTGTTATATTTTATTTTTATTTTTAATGGTGGTTAAATACACATAGCATAAAATTTAAGCATACAGTTCAATGGCATTAAGTACATTCACATTTCTGTATAACCAATCCTTAGAACCCTTTTTATCTTGCAAAAGTAAAATTCTGCATCTATTTAACAGCAACCCCACCACCACACCCCCTGTTTCCAGCCCCTGGCTACCACCACTCTACTTTCTGTCTCTGTGAATTTGACTACTATAGGTACATCACATAAATGGAATTATACAATATTATCTTTTTGTGACTGGCTTATTTCATTCAAGGTTCATCCATGTTGTGCCCAATGTCAGAGTTTTATCTCCTTTTTAAGCCTGAATAATATTCCATTGCATGTATTTACAACATTTTGTTTATCCATCAATGGACACCTGGGTTTCTTCTAACTCTTAATGCTGCTATAAATGGCACCATTTTTCCTTTTCTCTTTTTCTTTTCTTTCTTTCTCTCTCTCTCTCTCTCTCTTTTCTTTTTTGTGATAGAGTCTCACTCTGTCACCCTGGGTAGAGTGCCATAGCATCACAGCTCACAGCCACCTCCAACTCCTGGGCTCAAGCGAGTCTCCTGCCTCAGCCTCCCAAGTAGCTGGGACTACAGGCACCTACCACAACACCCAGCCATTTTTTGGTTGCAGCCATCATTGTTGTTTGGCAGGCCCGGGCTGGGGATTCGAACCCGCCACCTTAGGTGTATGTGGCTGGCGCCTTAGCTGCCTGAGCCACAGGCGCCGAGCCGATTCATTAGGCCATTAACTAAACTTTTCTAAGCTGGTAGAGTGATAAGCCAAGTAACTCAGAAACTGTTTCCTATCCCCCACCTCATAACAATTATTTTGATGGATCGCTGGGGTTTGCAGACATTTTCCTCATTGACAGAACTGACTTTCTGCTTGGTATGGAATGGAGCATGATGTATTTTATAATTGCCTCTATATCTTTCTCATGGCTTTTTGTGGTTTGCCAGCAACTTTTGCATGATGCAAGATTTCTGTGCTTGACTCAAGAGCCCGGCCCATCATATCTTTCTCTTTTTCCCTTCCCTCTTCTCCGTTCTCTTACCTAACAAGGCAAAAGAAGAGTCTTTACTTTCAAATATGAATCCTGAAGAAGTTGTTTTGTGGGAGGGGCCATAGGATTTCTTAAATCATTTTTCTGATCTTCTGGAATTAACTTCTCAGTGAGGGGGTCTTAAAAGATTTCTAAGAAAGAAAAGAAAAGATTTCTAAGAAATATCCCGGGGGATAGCTTGAGGCTCCGTCTCAAAAAAAAAATGGCCTAATGAATCAATAAACTTTAAATATATTTATTTGCTTGGAGCTGGGTTGTTTCACCAAATTACTGCAAATAAAATTACTGTGTATCCAAAAAGAAAGCTAATAAGTTCCAAAGATCCTTGTTCCCTACAGTTTCTCAATGAATATGTATTTTTTTGACACCAGTTGTTCTCCCAGATCCTAACTCCATCCTCACCACTATTTATCTGCTTCCAATTCTATCAGGAGTATCTCTCACTTTGAAATCAGGTTGCTTTTCTTTGCACTATTTTCCTATTCACTTAAAGCCACATTGAATAGTGCAATTTAAATACCAAAATAATTTTTTCATTAACAAAATGTTTATTAAGTACTTAAGGTGTGCCAGACACTATTGTTGGAACTGGGGATGTCAGCAATGAAGCATAGTCCCTGCCCTTACATTCTGCTGGGAGAGACAGACACAATAAACCAATAAATATAATGTATACCTTGGTGATTGGTATTATACAAAGCAGGGTAAGGGAATACAGCATGATGGGTTGGGGTGGTAAGATTAATTATTTTAAGTCAATTTAACAGTCTTCATATACTGATTTCTAATTCTAGGAAGGTTGGTACTGTCATAATTGTCTTTATTTTTTACCTGGCTTCAGGTTTGACACAGTTGTTCAATAAATCAAATGGGAACATTAATATGAAAAATACCTACATTCTGCTCTTGAATTTGTATATGTCTTCACATCACATGGATGGATTATGATTCTAGTCCATATATTGGAAATGCAAAGTACTTTGCATTTCTTCTCCAGAACTATTGATAGCTAATTCCAGCAGGTCAGCAAAAACAAAAATGTAAGGGTCATCAATAATCACTTTCCTCCAGAACTAAGGAGGGTACTCTCTCCTCATCTGTTCCTTACCCTCATCTTTGAGCTAAGATCCCCAAAGAAGCCTTGGATGAAGTCACTAGTCAAAGAGTTTCTACATACAGTCTAGTTAATCAGCAAAAATGCAGCAGATGATGAGGGACAGTTACAAAATGCCTCAGGGATTCACTTATTCATTTAACAATCTTTTTTTTTTTTTAGAGACAGAGTCTCACTCTGTCACCCTGGGTAGAGTGCTGTGGTATCATAGCTCACAGCAACCTCATACTCCTGGGTTCTAGTGATTCTCTTGCTTCAGCCTACTAAGTAGCTGGGACTATAGGCACCTGCCACAACACCTGGCTAGTTTTCTACTTTTAGTACAGATGAGGTCTCACTCTTGCTCAAACTGGTCTTGAACACCTGAGCTCAAGCAATCCACCCTCCTCAGCCTCCCAGAATGCTAGGATTACAGGCGTGAGCCACTGTGCTCAGCTTTTTAACAATCATTTTTTTTTTTTTTTTGAGACAGAGCCTCAAGCTGTCCCCCTGGGTAGAGTGCCGTGGCATTACAGCTCACAGCAACCTCCAACTCCTGGG